TACGTTTGTGTGTGTGTGTTTACATCTGAGATCAAATTTCCTACAGTGAAAACCCCCTATTGTGAAAAATTTCTTGGTGCAAACATGATTTCGTTGTAGAGGAATTTCACTGTCGTCTGCGTTTCAATTAAAAAAAAAACCAGACAGTGGTACAATGGGAGTTACATAACAATACACTGTTCACGTGAAACCATAGCCAGGCAGCTCTAAGAGCAAAAGAGTCACTTTTAAACTGTGGTGCCAGTTCGTACAGCTGGTGGCGGTCCTGAGACCTAATTGATGATCAGGCCTCGTTCCTTGGGACCGATTGATGCTTTCAATTCCGGGACCAGGGCCACCAGTCAGGGAAGAGCAGTTGGAGATCGTCAGCAAAGCACTAACATACACACAAATTAACACACGCAACAACACAGTGGTAATACAGTTTGACGGCCAAGAAATACCGGGTCGTTCTGTGGAAGCGAAGAAGCTGGAGTGTGGAGTTTTTGGGCTTCACTGCTTAGGTGACTCTATCCTAATGGGGTTGTTCTTGTCATGTTGCAGGAAGGACTTCGAGGAGCTTTTTGATGTCATCATCACAAATGCCCTCAAGCCCGGTTTCTTCTCCTTAAAACCGCAACAGAGATCCTTCAAAAACCTTGGTGAGCACTTATTTATGCATTAAAAAAATGTTTACTTTAAAAGTGGAAGGATAGGAACAGTACTGTTACACACACACACACACACACACACACACACACACACACAAAAATGACTTGACAATAATCAGCCAACTTGCCAACACCCCAACAGTAATGGGAACAAGAAGGAATCCTAAACTAATTTAATTTTAGGGCTTCTGAAACTTGGTCTCGTCGTCTTATGGCGAGTAACCTCCACTGTTGTAGTTTGAAAGCAACGCAGAGTCGAGCTCAAGGGGGGCAGAAATTCAGAACAACATGCTTGGTGATCAAAGATTGACTCAATGGTTTAGTTCCACCCATGTGAAAAACAAAAAAAAAAAAAAAACACGTCAAGGTACAGAGAAACCACACGAGGAAAAACAGTCAAGGTGAACACATCCACACTGAGTGTAATGACAGCCCATGGCCACGGGGAGCGCCACCACCACACAGAGTCCCGGCCCAGATTGACCGAGGGTAGATCCAATACATGGTGCAGAGCCCCCGGTTCCCTCAGGCCCAAGGAGCTCCAGGACGTCCCTGTGAGAAGGCCAGCCACAACTCCCAGCGTGAAGGCCCCCCATGAAGAAACACTGGAGCTAAAAGCTGAAAAAAAAAAAAAAAAAAAAAAAAGCTAAAATAGAAAAACCACAAAAGAAGCTAGGAACTAAAATACAGAAAGATGACCGTATTTTCGGCACTAAAAGGCGCACTGGATTATGAGGCACACCTTAAAAAACACAAAAGAAGCTAGGACCTAAATACAGAAAGATGACCGTATTTTCCGCACTAAAAGGCGCACTGGATTATGAGGCACACCTTCAATGAATGGCCTATTTTGTAATTTTTTTCATATATTGCATGCACTGGACTATAAGGCACAATCTACAATGCATCCACTTGATAGAGCTACAGGTACGTCTTTGTCCGTCTCCGTGCCTTCTCTTCTTCCGTTAGAC